TTCACCCACAAGGTTGTTCCATTATCAGTTTCCATCTCAGTAATTTTAAGTTTGCCTTAAAACACACATGTATTTTGTTGTTTATTTCATAAGCACCAGAATTAATGAGCATTATTGTACACCATTTTCCCTAAAATACACATTTTTGCAAGTAATAGCTGCCTTTTCTGTACATTAGTTTTCTTAACATTTTTTTTTTTTGGATTGGAGAACTGCAGTGCACAAAACACTGGAAATCAAAAAATGACTGTTTTTTGGTTGCATGTTAATTTGGGAACTAAAACTTACATCCATTTCAAATATAGCACAGACCAAACAAATTTCTCTCCAGTCCCTACCATCAACTCTTGAAAAGACCACACCTGGCCTGAGACAATTCTGCTATCTTATTCTTTTGCCTTCTGTAACTTTTATACTTTGTTTTCATATCTTAAATTGTAAACTTTCTTTAATGCAAAAAGTAGTATATACATGCAGTAAATAAATCAACGAGCTATCTCAATAAGTTCTTCTAATAAAATCTTGGATTCTGAGCTGCCAGGTTAAGGCTAGGTTTCAAGGAAGACACTCAAGGCCTAATCCTTCTTAAAAACACACACACACACTGTCAGGTCATGTTAAACTATATGAACCACATTCAATTTTCTTTCTTTTTCTTTTTCTGTTTTTTGGAAACACCTTAATGATTGGGATGCCTCCCACCAGTGAGTGAGTCAGAGAGACATGGATTTCTTTATACAGAGAGACAGCATGATAGACTAGTCTTGTTAAGTATCAGGTGGCTCTGTCTTCAAAAAGCAGGGAAAGGACTGAAGGGGATGAAATCAAGGTGCCTTCTAAACTTGCCATCACTCCATCACTAAACCTTTCCATGTCACCATGGTAACAGCAAAACAACACCTGGGAAGATTTAAACCACTAACAAACAGATGGTAGAAACTGGTTGGAAGCTTTTTCTTGTTTAAATCCAACTGACCTTTGTCAAGGCAAAGAAGGAACAGTTGACATTTTAGTCATAATGAAGAAAACACAATAATATTTCAGTCGTGGTACACTCCAGCATCACGTACTGCACAAAAAAGAGAACATTCTATTTGTTTCAACCTTCATGTTACTTATTAAGAAAACAACTTTCCCATAAAGCTTGTATAAGTAGATCCCTTTGGGGCCTATTTGGCTAATGACCATCCCTAAGTACTGGTGGAAATTCTTTTTAAAAACTAAAACATAATAAAACCTCAACTCAACTGTGTACAAGACATATGCCACATCTAACTAATGAAAGGTGCATCGGCCTTAGAAATATGTTACAGACACATACACATGCTTGGTTCCAGGTATGTTCACCCATGCTGTTGCATGGTCACAGATGGCTTCTAGATAACAACTTAAGAGCACAGTCCTAAGGAACTGGAGTGGAGCAGAACTATGAAGCCACCTTGGGTTCCTTGCAAGAGGAAAAGAGAGAAGGGGATATAAATGCTATAATAATAATAATAATAATAATAATAATAATAATAATAATAATAATAATAAGCTACTTGCTAGGGAGAGAGATCCAATCTTACACTCTAACCACAGCATTACAGTATGTGGCCACCTATCCATACTCTGGTTTAACATCACCTTCTTACTGTTATTAGAAAGTGAGGGGCTTTCCAATTTCATCCCAGTACAAATGCCTCCAGCTACAGCATTTAAAAATGAATCATCTCACATCAAAAGCACAGTGAAACAAACATATAATAGTATTCACTTTACTCTTTCAGCAGAATTAATTTTGTGAATCAATATTTCCTCTTCGCTTTTTTATGGTCAACAATGATACCATGGGCACTGATTAAAGTTTGCATCACAGACATGTTAAATGCCACAAGAGCTTGAAGAAGATGGAATAAAAAAGAGCCATAAACTGATTAGCATGTTCTACAGCCATTGCTGTGAGCCTGGCAGAGCCAAATTTAGAAATAATGATTAGATTTGTCTTTTAATTAGGGAAGGTTTTGGAGAACTATCAAACAAAATTGAAAAAAAAAAGCAGACTGCAACTTGGTTTTATTACCCTGATGTTCTCACTTCTGGGTTAAATGTCATTATTGAAGCATATAAATAGCTCCCTTTTCTGACTCTGACTCTTTTTCTCCACCTGCCCTTTCTCCCTCCCCTGTCCCCTGTGGTGGGTGGGTGGGTGGGTGGGGGTGTGTTTGTGTGTGTGTGTGTGTGTGTGTGAGAGAGAGAGAGAGAGAGAGAGAGAGAGCGAGCGAGCGAGCGATCTGTCATGGGCTGTAGCCTGTTAAATGAAAATCATACAGGTTGCATAGTGATCATCATGTTAACTTCCACTGGGCTACTCAGTAGATGCATCTGTAAAGAGCAATTATGACTTATTAGAATGAGGGCAACAGTGAAGAATAGTAAAAGTGGGAAGAAGGATAAGAAATTACTCCCAGTTTCTATAACTGCATCAGAATCAGTGGGTTTGATCCAGATCAGGTTAGTGCATCCTCTTTCACAGCACATCTGCTTTCCACACAGCTCACTGAATAGCTGCTTTGGTGGGCTGTTAGAAGAGCAATTGGGTTGGGGGAGAGGGCCATGAGGACAACATTTATGCGTGTGTTCTTCCCCAGGCCACTGTCAGGCTGGCAGCGCAGAATCAATGGCAGGGAGGTGACGGTAGTGGTGAGAATGCACTGTATGTCTGTGCTGCTTCATGCACATATGTGCATGTCACATGTCTGCCCACTTATGTGCCGTTTCGCGCCCCATGCACCACAAAGACCAATGTGTTCCCCAAAATGATTTCCCGGACTGCGTTTAGCATTCCATATGAATCAGTCCATTGTCTCGGACCAGCCTACTTGGGAATTCATGATTATTCAGTAAATGCATAAGGAAAATAGGCCTTTCAAAAGGTTTTTCTCAAGCCCATTCAAGATGTCAAAATTATCTTCTGTGTAGCATTCAAGATCTACTAAGAATTATTTTGACCATTCTCATGTTGAAATGGTTTTTGCCTACCTTTTTTGTGGTTGTTGGTTGTAAATGGGAATTTGCACATTTGCTTGGATGCCTGAGGCAGATACAGTCAAGAGTGGTAAAAATGGACCAAGGTGAAAAATAGTTTTATATTTTAAGCATATATCCTAAAGATTGTGAAGAATTCTGCTAGGATTATGAAGAATGTCTTCTGTATTTGATAGCTTGCTATTTTGAAGTGTCCTTTCAATAGCAGAGCTCCATATAGTGTTGTTTTAAATTTTAAAGGTCTATCAACATCATTCCCACCCCTGTCAAAATGTGACGTTTATACAAATTATGAACTAAAATAAGTCAGTTCATAATTAAATAACAATAATAAGAAAAAAACAAATACTTTCTGTTTCATAATTAGTTCCTTATAATTACTCTAGACCAATGTGTAGAATGTTTATTTCCTTTTACAAATTATGTTCATTTGAATAATGAAAGCTGCTTTTGGTTCATTCTTGCTGTGCTCTTCCACAACTTCCATTAATGTCAATGAGTTTTCTGCTGGAGAGCCTCCAAGTAGATTGTACCCAATCTGATTGTGGTACATTAATTAGTCAGCTAATTACTTCTTCATGGCCTGATCCCCAAAATGTCAATATGTCAAAAAAGTACTTTGAATTCCTGTGGGTTGTAGCCAGTGGATTGTACTGAATGTTAGTCTAACATATTGTAAAATCTATTCATTTCAATGGTTCTACTCTAAGTAGGAGTAACACTGGTTACAACCCAGCTATGGTATTGTAACAATGAAAAATACCCTGCTCTAGTGACAAGATAGGGATTTTTTTTTATTATAGTCCTATATTTACTTAATGAGAGTTACTTCTCTGTAAAAATGTACACCATGCACTATCAGAATTACATTAACAGACCAGCAAACTAGTTCAGCCTTTCCCAAACTGATGACCTCAATACAGGGCTTGGGAAGGCTGGACAAGTGAGAAACACTTATGATTGGGGTATCATATATTTTCTAGACCTATCACCCAATCACCAAAATCTAATTGAACCTTAATTGTTCAATTAAATCTACATCAATGTGCACATAATTAAAATGATTGCTTTGAAGAAATAAGCATAATGTCTTTGTTTTAGGTAGTACTTGTAAATGTATGGGAAGTGCCAAATCAGAAGAGGCATTTTCTTAGAAAGAGTGAAGGGGGAGTGTCTCTTCCAACATGGCACCTTGCAGGTATTAGGGTATTCCTACCAAAATTAATCAGTACATCTTTAAAAATATGACCTGGCTACTGAGACCTTTTGTCAATTAAATTGTAAGCAATGAACTGGTTGATGTGGTTGCAGCTCTCATATTATTATTTTCTTGTTGAAAGTTGCTGAAAAGAAGTAGAATTCTCTAATATGAGCTTCAGTCTTCTCAAGTTACATATGCAGAAGAAGAAATGCAAACACTACTATGGACATCTTCATATACTTTGAGAATCTGACTGACTGCAGAGATAAATCTTATTAATTTTGCTCTTGGATTTTTAACTTAAAACTCAACTTTTATGCTTGATCATAAGCCTCAGAGAAATCAATCATTTTACCCTGCTCTTTTATTAGTACATGGTTAAAAACATCCTTTGCCAGTACAAGGATGAAACCCTTTTTGCAAACAAAGAAGTGTAGAGTTTGGTTGTAGATAGTTTCTAATCTCAGGCTATTTGCTACAACTTCTACTCATGTGTCACACAACAATCATATCCCACATTATTATGTTGCAGTCATATTGTCATATTATACTGTGTGTAGATATATTTCTCATGCTAATTGATAAGTAAAGAACTTGAGTCACATCTTGCAATAGAAGACAAACAACGGAAGGTTCTCTTTTTTATTTATAGATATCTGAGTCCCAGTTTGCTCTTGATTCAGTGTTTGCAGCATTAGACATACCGCCACCAAAAAAAAAAAAAAAAGTAAAAGCTAATAAGGAAGAAATAAAAGTTAAGCTAAGCACTTACTTGCAGGCAGTTGAAAATGACAAAGAAGACCAACATCCACAGAAGTCTGTAAGCCATGTGCAGTCCTCCCCATAGCCAAGTAATGGAAATGAGGGCAAAGAGGTATAAAACCAGCGGGATCTCTGCAAACCATAAGAACAGAGGAGTTTATTGACTGATACACTTTGCAAAAAAATTCAGACATATCTGTGTATGAAGATGTTTTAAGTTCTCAGTATCTCTTCTGTACATCAGGATTGCATAATGCAGGCAATCTAGTGATGAGCAAGAAAATCCCTGAATCTGCCCTCTTCTGTGTTCTGTTTCTCACGTGGGTGGGGGTGGGGTGTATAGGGACTAGAGCACCACCTACTGACTAACTCAGCCAAAAGGCTGGAAAGTAAGATCAGAATAAAATGGATCTGGGAGCAGATCAGGAGGTCAGTAGATGCAATTCTCTTACAAAATGCACAGACAAGATACTGTAGACGTTGGGAGCATAGAGCATGTTTGGTAATATGGGAACCAAGTGTGCAAACTGCAGAGTCGTCATCTGTTTCTTTCGAAAGAATCAAAGTGCTTATGAGGACATTCAATGCTACAAAGTCCAGGGGTTAAAAAAAGCTATGTTAAGATGAACAAATGAAATACCTTAAATTCTGCGAAAAAACTAAGGTCAAGAGATACAGGGGTGATCTTTGGCATTCCACTGCACTCACAATGGATGTCAAAGTTCATATTTGCTCTGTTTTGTACATTTCAAACTGTGCAGGTGTTCTCTGAAGTACTGCTCCTTTTCCATGTTATTAATTAATGCTATTTCAGCAAAACTGACAAACAGTCCAGGGGAAATAAGCAGAGCAATGTGGTAGCTTACCCATCCTTCCAAACTCATGTATCTATCCCTGCTAAATTGTGTACTGGGGCAGGCAGGAAATAGCATGTTTGGCTTCCAGCAAAGCAAAGGAATAGGTACCTCAAAGATTTCAGTGCAATTACTGCCATCACAATGTAATAAATACATACAAACATGCATGCATGCACATATTAGTTTATTTCTGTTCAAAATCCAATGACTGCTTGAAGGGAACAAAACAAAATATATGTGGGTGGCACACTCTGTAGATTTCTCCATCTAGGCTCTCAGTCCATAAGGATGTTACGTTTGCAGTTCTGTGCCTGATTATTGACAGTGAACTCAATAGCACTCCCATTTGAGTAAACTTGTATAAGATTGCACTGCAGCACTGATGGTAATATATTTATGAATCAATGAATCTCAAATTGATAGTTTGACATTAGCCCTATTCAGGTGTTCTTGGGGAGATTGACACTAGAGCCCTTTCTGCTTATGAGCCAGCACAACTGTGGTAGTCACACAAAATACATTTATCACAGTTGGGCATCTGCTAATGAATGCATGGCTGAAAATGGGGGCTTGTGTCACACGCAAACAGAAGTTGGCACAATTGGAAAAGGGGTGTGTATAAGGAAATACCATTTAAGGTTGATTTGTCTTTGCTTGTTTTTTTTAGCTCAATTAGCTATGCAAACATGTGAAGGCCCAAATGAGTGCAGATTTTTTAAAAAGAAAATAATTGATAATTCTCCTGCCCGCTTACAAAAATCATGGACAAGCAGAAAGGGTAGTGATCTTTGTGCCTGTCCTCCCAATCCCCACAGGGTGAAGCCAAAGGGACCAGCATCCCCATTCCCTTTCACTCAAAAGCCAGCAAGTGTAGCCCCTTTTCCATATGGAGATATAAGTTAGCTCCACTGAAGACAATGTGATTTACTTGTAAGTATGGCCATTGAAGGTGATCTGATTTACATCTAAGTAGATATGCATTTTCTTTTCTTTTCTTTTTTTCTTTTCTATGTCTCTCTCTCTCTCTCTCTCTCTTGGAGCAAGAGGACAAAGCAGAAAAACAGGAAGGCTTGAAAAGACACCACAAACTTTATTTTTTCAAAGGGTAGGAGAGGGGAGGCAGGAAACAGCGCTGCATTTACAGTGTGTGTGTAAGTGTGTGTGTGAGAGAGAGGGGGGAGGAGAGAGGAGAGAGAAGCTGTGCGTGCATGCATGTGTGTGTATTTGGGTGCAATGAAGCAACTTAAGGATGTCTGAGTTTTTGCTGTTTTGCTGAAGCCCACAGGACACTTCCTGTTTCCCACCAGCCTGGTGAAGTCATTCCTCCTGGCCGCAGAACAGTACCACAAAATTAGCATCTGCTACTATATCATATGTTGAGAGCCGCCCAGAAAGCCTTATGGCTAATGGGACAGCACACACATTGAATAAATAAATTGAACAAATAATAAACACTGCACACTGGGGGAAAACCACAACACATAAAAAGTTGTGGTAAATCTGGTCTCATGAAAGCAAGGATATAGCGGTAGAAATAGCATGAGGATGACAGGTTGGGGTGGACATCATGTGATTGCCAGTGAGCTGGGCACTTCTTTGTTTTCCACAAATACTGACTGGTATCATTCAGTTGGACTTTGCATGATAGCCCCTTATTATAGAACATGTTCTATTCAGCCATGCTTGGCCGGATTACTTCATTCAATAGCCTTATCTTATAAACCTAGTGAAAACCAAGTTTCTTGAAACACAGCATTAACATAAATTAACATAAATTGAGTTAATAAAGATCAAGAATGTAACAATATTGACAGAAAGTTCAAGAACATTGTGTCTGTGTCCGTAGTCTATTTCGTTTTGAGGCTGAAGGACTGGTTGCTTCTCTTCAGTTATTCTCCTCCTATGTTCATAGCACAAAGCACACATGCATCTAGAATTCTAGATAAACACCACATCAGATTTTCACATGGAGCTTTGCAGCCTCTAACATCCCTTAGATGGAGTAAAATCTGATCTGTAACCCATCTGGTTCCATGTAGAAAAAGCAAAGTCTCATCCCTCCCCTCCATCCCACATGTCCTGCTACAGAGATCTTCCAAATGAATTTGTCCAGGTTTGAACCTAGAACTTTGTACCGGTAGAGTTTATATTTAGTGATCTCTTTGGTGAAATAGCCTATACTGGCTGGATTTCCAAAGTTTGTCCAAAAGTCTTATTCTGAAATCCCAATACCCAATTCTTAAGCAGTCTCTCTGCTTATACAGGCTGTGCCTGAATTTTATCTCACATGGAAAAAATGGGAGGATTTTTTTTTTTTAATGGAGGGCTTCTCTACTTTAAGCCTTTAGTTTGTTTTAAGCTGCTACTTTACTGAGGTTTCAACTTCTGGATTTTTTGAGGGATTAAGCTCTTTGCACATCCCCCACCTGGGTTTTCTCTCCCTGCTGCTTTGTATGCATACAGCATGTATGCACAACAACAATGTTGCACTCTGGTACAGCAGAACTACAAAAATGGTCGAGCATTTTGGAGCATTTTATAGAAAGCTAAACCTTTAAGAGCTCACCAAAAACCCAAAGAAATGCTCCGAAAGCTTGGGAGAGGCTCTGGAGGATGGCAATAGCATATAAAGCGTCCACAAACTGCACTGGGTGAAGAATTACAGCAGAAAAACGTTGTGTATGATTCATATCATGAAATCCACCCTTCCCTTGTGGTTTCTTGAAATCTTAACCGGTTACTGGGGTGAATTTCCCTCCTAGAGATATGACAGTATTTCTGCTCAACCCTTTTCGAATCAGGTTTTCCCAAGCAGTTACGCTTATGCATTGAGGACATCAGCTATTTGTAGACAATCTTCTGACCATAGCAATGCAGAACTTGATATCGGGCATTTCTTTTTGAGTAGGCATGTATAGGAATACACTAAAAGACTGAGGGTAAAATATCTATCAGTGATTGAAAACTCAACTGATGGTTTGACATGAGCCCAGTTCAGGTGTTCTTCTTACCACGAAGCATCAACATGTGAGGAAGGGGAGTATTCCAGCCCTGCAACTCTGCAAAAACACCCCACTGTGTTTACCTGTGATGTGGACACCTGAGCCTTTAAAGTATTCTAATAGCTTAAAAATCCATTTTAACATGTGGAGAGCCTTCATGGATGGATACAGGAGGATCTTTGCTTCTCAAGGTCACCTTCTACATATAGGTGAGAAGTGAAGGTGAGAGTGAAGATAGAGCAGGGCAAGGCTGGCATGCTTTCCTTCCTCACAAATTTAAACAGCATGTTTAGAAAACACTAGCAAAATAGACCCCTTATTCATCAGCCAAGACATTTCTACTGCCTTCAGGGAAGAATTTATATTCAACAATTGTTAAGAATACTTAGAAGTTCAATATGCCTTTTGATTTGCAGAATGCTCAGTTCTTTGTTTTGTTGTTTTTTTTAATCTGAGCCGCCTTTTTTCCTGCTGACCTTGGAATGAATCCAGGGTTCTGTTAGAGAACCTGGACTTGCGCAGCAGGATTTCTCCTCCTCTCCTCCCAAGTGCAGCCCCCGATGGCTCCACAGTATCTTCTCTGGACAGTCCCAAGCACCTGGGCAGATTTTAAGGGTACACAGAACCTGCCTACCCCATTTCAAGAATGGAAGCTGTTCTCTCATTGGGAAGGGTTAACTGAATATCACAGCTCACCTGGTATGCTCTCAAGGATAACTTGGTTTTCTTTTTCAGTCTTTACAAATTTATTTACTGTTGATTTCATTTACATAGCTTGTGTCCCACACCTCCAAAATAAATGTATACCCTCGAGATGGCTTACAAACCAGAATGATACCACAAAAATAGAAATAAGGCACTCAAAGAATCACAACAAGCTAAAACAAAAAAGCCCGGCAAGCCAAAATCCTTTTTGCTTGGCATCTAAATGATAGTACTGAGGGTACCATGCAGAGTTTTCTGGGAAATACATTCTAAGGATGAGGCAAAACTCTTGAAAAATCTGTTTCTGATTGCCACCTGCTGCACTTCAGACAGTGCAAGCACCCAGAAAAGGTTTCAGATGAGAATCTCAGTGGATGGCAAATTGATACTGGAGAAGGTGGCCCAACAAGTATCTGGATCCTATAGGCTTCGAAACCACATAAGGTTGTTCCACTCAACATCCCACCATCACCAGGTCAACCTTCATAACCTGCAGGTTGGAGGCCTAAATGAGAATTCTTTGTATGTTCAGCTGAATCCACACAGAATCCTCCACAGTGGATACCTG